CGTGAGTGTCTTGAACTCTTTCATCCTTATTCTATAGCCGCAGCGCCCATTTGTCCCGTAGACATAATTACAACCAACCCCTCATTCGGGAACACCATGTAGGCAAAAAAAGTGGCTAGGGAAGCATATATGTAGGGAGAAAGGCAAATGAAGGAGAATAAAATACAGACTTTGAAGGATTATTGAGAGATGTTCAATTTATCACACATCACTATGCAATGTTTATACATGTAACGTCATCTAATTTGTGAAAGGGTTAACAGCCAATCAAAGCTCAATAATGCTGTAATCAATACCAAAGCAATATGAAACACCATTTTCACAATACTGTTACACATCTGTGATTGTTATACAACCAATTATTATCATGTGTAGCACTTATACTTAAAATAATGGACCAAGTCTGATTATCTAAACTAATAGAGCCATGATTCCCTGACACATTAGTATTGATCATGTCTGATATTCTGGCCTCAATAAGTACATAAGTGTATCGTGGCTGATCTTCATGATATAACCATGACTAATTACACAACAACCATGATACAGGACAAATATCAGGCTGATTCAGACTAGTTTTTGTCCTGATTTAAGGCAATAATAATTGCCATTAATTAATCATGTAATGTAATGGCAGAAATAATTCCACTGGAACAGGAACTTCTGTTCCTTCCAAAAATATTTATGTATAAACTTGCATACTGATTGTCTTTGAAATCCAGTGTTGCACTTTTAAACGGTAGAAATGCCTTAATATCATCATGGGTTCTGCACACTTTATACATGCAACCACAAGCACTGTCACAGCTTTCCTTTTCTGGAGAGGAATTTCATTTTTAAAGAGATGACAATGATAAATAATATAAAAAGAAAGGGAAAATTATGTCCTCATAATTAAAATTGTACATTACTATCATTTGGCTTGTATTATTATTATCGTCGTTACTATTCCTCTGATCATTTACTTCCAATGAACTTGGTTCTTTTGCCCACACCTCATGAACTATTGACATCATTTCTTCTACCATTCCATGACTTCCTCAACTAGTGACTGGCCTGCATCAGCTTGACATCCATCCATCTCTTTTCCTCACCTTTAACAATTTCAATATTACCAGTAATGCTCAACAACATTATAGGAAGAGGGAGAAGTAAATACTAGAAAATAGACAATACAGTCTTGGCCTAATACTATTTCACAATAAACAACCTACCTACATTTGGTACATAACTACATATGAAATAATATTAGTCAATCATGAATGCATGTATAGCAAGCAGTATCACTTAAATAATGTGATGCCTCCCAGGAAAAAAATTTTACTAAGATCTTGAATAATCTGATCAGATGAGTTAATGTGAAGTAAAGTGAAATAAAAATCAAGAACAACCTTGTAAAATCTTATTTGCATTTTGTCTGATCGATCTAAGCTATCACATACAGGCATAGTGTTACTTAAGATCCTACAAGATTTATCTTTACAGGCCGGATGTTACTTACATAAATTATCTTACAATATCACTTACAAGATTTAAAGGCCAGGTCTTACTTAAGATCATACATGAATAATCTTACAGTAATATTGTAAGATAATTCATGTAAAGCATTAAGTAAGATTCAGCTTTTAAATCTTATTAGTGATATTATATAGGCGGTAGCCTATATGTAGGATTGAGGTTGGTTTTTCAAGATGGCGACTGTTTTTATGAATTTCAAACACTTATGACTCTTTTATCTTACGTTGTACAGCCTTATGAATGGCTTAGATGAGCTCTCCTTCACTGAGCAATTCTCCTAATGCCTTTAAAGTGGACTGTAATGTAGCAGGAGCTTTTTTGGAGAATAGGCCAAAATTCAAATTTCTGCAAAATTCTTCAGACTTTTCTTCTATCAACTTCTTCTATCGCCACGATAATCTTTTAAACCAGAGAACTGCTTCAGTTGGCTTTTACATCATTCCTTTGTGCTTGGGTCATGGACCACTAAGGTGGATTCAAAAAGTAGCAAGGAGAGAACAAAATGGAAGTCAAAATCCAGCTGCAGACACCGCGTGGGTTTGTGGTTTGACGCCATTTTAATTTATGCGCACGTGATTAGTACGAATATGATTAACCTAACCACAGAATCAAAACAACATAATTTCTTAATTTAAGAAAAAAGAATGTAAACAAGTAAATAAAAAACATTAAAAATGGAAAAGGAGTAGGAT